CCATGCCACAGCAGGCTGCCCCCACGATGAAGTCCTCGCCCCCACCCTTCATCGCCGCCCAGGTGCCCGTCCTGGAGCCCCAGCTCCCAGGCAGCGTCTTCGACCCCATCGGCCACTTCACCCAACCCATCCTGCACCTGCCGCAGCCCGAGCTGCCCCCTCACCTTCCCCAGCCACCCGAGCACAGCACTCCGCCTCATCTCAACCAGCACTCAGTGGTCTCTCCTCCAGGTGAGCTGTGGCCATGGCCACCCAGGTTCAGGGAGACTCCTTCCCGCCCTGGTCTCACCACTCTGCAACTGGGCACTCAGGGCAAACTTCGGAACCCATCTCAGCTTCAGTAGTTTCTAAGGAGATGTCGGTGGCTTCCCAGGGCCATGTAGAAATTACACAAGACAACTCAGGATAGCCTTTGCAGAGAGTTACTGCTTTGATACAGAAGATACTAAGTCATTTGTGCTGGGTCAGACATTATCAGGTGAAAAAGGATGTGCCCCCTCTGTAGCTTCCAATTAAGAGTGGGGAGAGACACACTTATCCCAGAAAGGAAGGTTAGACAGGCATTCTGGACATGCCTGCTCTGAGACTTGAAGGGCAAGTGTGAAGACAGGGAACAGCTGCAAAAAGGGAGAGAAGTGGGAGGTGCAGGCCACCTGTCAGGGCAGTGCTGGTGAGGGCCCAATCCTATAGACCTTCCTGGCAACTGTCTTTATTCTGGAGATGGAGAAAAGCTGAGGAGGTCGGGGAGAGAGTGCTTGTTAGAAATGGGTAGAAGGTCGTGATGGAGTAGAAAGGTCAGGTTGGGGAACACGGAAACCTCACCACCACACTGTTGTATCCTTCTAGCTTTGCACAACGCGCTGCCCCAGCAGCCATCGAGGCCCAGCAACCGAGCCGCCGCCCTACCCCCCAAGCCTGCCCGGCCCCCTGCTGTGTCACCCGCTCTGGCCCAGCCGCCCCTGCTCCCACAGCCCCCCATGGCCCAGCCACCTCAAGTGCTGCTGCAGGAGGAAGAGGAGCCACCCACCCCACCCCTCACCTCCATGCAGATGCAGCTCTACCTGCAGCAGCTGCAGAAGGTGCAGCCCCCCACACCTCTACTCCCTTCCGTGAAGGT